ACCTTCCAATGCTTTGATCAACGCGCCCCATTCATGGCATTTCACTGTGAACATAAAACCGTATGCGCCGCTGGAAACTAAAGCTATCATTGACAAAGCCATGTTCGGCACAGACACATTGCCAGATAAAAGAGCTGCTCTTTTCTTTATGTCAAAAGTCAGGTCAGAAGAGTCTTGGTTTCTTTAGAGACGTAACATTGGTTGACTGGGGGAAAATGGCACACGATGTGATAAATGTCCTTTCCTGATTTGAAAGACTAAAGCCGTCTTTTCAGTTCTCAAGCAATTTACCAGAGATAAATACCTTATAACATTTTTTACTCTAAAACATTGTACTTTAAAAAAATATTGTTCACTACACTAATGGTTCTGCATACATTTCGGGTGAAATCTTCAGTAATGCAGAAAAACTCAGTTGGTTCCAATTTCATACTGGGAGAATCGCAGGAATGATATAATCTATAAGACAGCTGTATTAACTTAAAGACATACAAGCACCAAAGATTGCTCTTAATAGCTCCAGTGATGCCTTGGACCACAAGAAGATCAAACCAGTCAGAAAATAATGCCCAATTGCTCAGTGCTGTACTTTGGCCACATCATGAGAAGACAGGAAAGCTTGGAGAAGATAATGATGTTGGGGAAGATGGAAGGAAAAAGGAAGAGGGGCCGACCAAGGGCAAGAAAAATGTTAAGGGCTGAAAAATGCGGTATAAAAATGAAGCAAATAAATAAGATGGATGGATGGTATCCTTGAAGTGACTGGCTTGACCTTGAAGGAGCTGGGGGTGGTGATGGCCAACAGGGAGCTCTGGCTAAGAGTGAAGAGTCAGACGCGATTGAACGAATAAACAACAACATAGAACAGACATGGGCAAACTTCAGCTCTCCAAGTGTTTTGGACTTCAGCTCCCACAATTCCTAACAGCCTCGGGCCCCTTCCTTTTCCCACTCAGCCGCTTAAGCTTAAGGGCCAAACTTTGCCCAGGCTTGCTATAGAGGCCTGCAGCATTGTTTAACATGGGGGAAGATCCAACTTTCCAGCTATAGAAAACTGTTCCTACTAAAAGGGATTGCAACTGAAAAAACATGTATTTGCAGTGTCTTTTCTGCAAAATGTTTTCAGTTTCAGATACGGTTGTCTCTGAAAGACCAGTGATTATTTTGCTATGTAGGAATACATCTAGGGCAAGGTTTCCTACCATAAACACTGGAAAGGTCAAAAGGCATTTTCTCTCTCTTTTTTTTTTCCTCATGTATTTGTTTTGTTTGGAGGCCTCTTCCCATCCAACTCCTAACCAAGACTGAGTTCTGCTTAGCTTCCAAGATCACGTGGCATTTGATGCCTTGAAGATATTTAAGTGCATCTGAAGTGTAGAATCATAGAAGCACTGAGTTGGAAGAGACCTCGTGGGCCATCCAGTCCAACCCCCTGCCAAGAAGCAGGAATATTGCATTCAAATCACCTGACAGATGGCCATCCAGCCTCTGTTTAAATGCTTCTAAAGAAGGAGCCTCCACCACACTCCGGGGCAGAGAGTTCCACTGCTGAACGGCTCTCACAGTCAGGAAGTTCTTCCTCATGTTCAGATGGAATCTCCTTTCTTGTAGTTTGAAGCCATTGTTCCGTGTCCTAGTCTCCAGGGAAGCAGAAAACAAGCTTGCTCCCTCCTCCCTGTGACTTCCTCTCACATATTTAGACATGGCTATCATGTCTCCTCTCAGCCTTCTCTTCTTCAGGCTAAACATGCCCAGCTCTTTAAGCCGCTCCTCATAGGGCTTGTTCTCCAGACCCTTGATCATTTTCATCGCCCTCCTCTGGACACATTCTACTTTGTTAATATCTCTCTTCAATTGTGGTGTCCAGAATTGGACACAATATTCCAGGTGTGGTCTGTGGTATGGTTGGGTATTTTTGCCGGGAAGTCGCTTTTGTGCATGTGCTGTAGCATCTTTTTTTTTTTTTTGCTTTTTGGCTTTTTAAATCCCTTCCGATGTGTTTTTCAGTGTTTTTATGAGTGATGGTCACTCACTGGCCCAATAGGTGTATTGTGTTCAAATTTTGTGTCAATTCGTCCAATGGATTTTGACTTATGTTAATCCCACAAACTAACATTACATTTTTATTTATATAGATTTGTTATTGTTCAATGCTGTGAAATCCCGGGATTTATAGTTGAGTGAGGGGCCAACACTCTTTGGAAGAGGCGGCTAAGACAGACAATCCCGACAAGACAGAGGTCCTCCTGGTCAATCGTAAACCGGATCGGGGTATAGGGTGGCAACCTGTGCTGGACGGGGTTACACTCCCCCTGAAGTCACAGGTCCGCAGTTTGGGAGTCCTCTTGGATTCATCACTTACGCTTGAGGCTCAGGCATCAGCGGTGTCCAGGAGGGCTTTTGCACAACTAAGACTTGTGCGCCAACTGCGACTGTACCTCGCAAAGGCTGATCTGGCTGGGGTGGTCCATGCCTTAGTCACATCTAGGTTGGATTACTGTAATGCGCTCTATGTGGGGCTGCCCTTGAAAACGGCTCGGAAATTCCAACTGGTTCAACGGGCAGCAGCCAGGATGTTAACTGGCGCCCTTTACAGAGAGAGGTCAACCCTCCTGTTTAAGGAGCTCCATTGGCTGCCGTTTACCTACCGAGCCCAATTCAAGGTGCAGGTGCTTACCTACAAAGCCCTAAACGGTTTGGGACCTGCCTACCTGCGTGACCGCATCTCCGTATATGAACCCATGCGCTCCCTCCGTTCATCCGGAGAGGCCCTGCTCACGATTCACCTGCGTCGCAGGCTCGTTTGGTGGGGACGAGGGACAGGGCCTTCTCTGTGGTTGCCCCCGACTTTGGAACACCCTCCCCAAAGACATTAGACTAGCACCCACGTTGGCAGTCTTTAGGAAGAACTTGAAGACCTGGCTATTCCGATGTGCCTTTCCAGAATAGGATAACCTCCAGCACTACGTCCCAGAAGCACTTTATTAGAGCGTAAGACTCTCTGCACATTGCACTTGCCCAGAATCCCAACATATCACCTCTTACACCCAGTGTTGGGGTTCAGCCTGAGTTTGAACTTGAACCTGATTCTCTGTTTGTTCCTCCTGATGCTAATGAAAATATATTTACTGATGCTAATGAAAATGTACCTCTTGATGCCAATGCTCCTGAAATTAGTGAGGAAGAAACTTCTGTAGATTTGGAAAATGAAAGTACCAGTGTTCATGAGAATGTTTCAGAGGGAAGCCATGAACTTTCACTCCCTTTTGCACCTGGTAACTCTAATGAGAACAGAAGGGGCCAGATCTGGCAAGACAGAAGTAAATCACTCAGCTTGCGAAGGTCTTCCCGATTAAGAGAAAAACAAACAATGGCTTCAAAGCAGAGGGGCGGTTCACGGAACCAATTCTTTGGCTTGAAGTGCCTTCTGCCGGGCTGACTTTCTCAGTTCAGGCATCGTTTCAGATTGATGAAGACCTTGGCAGTTCTCCCGGTTTTCCTGGCCATTGTCTTGAAAGATTTCTAGGATATCAAGTACGGTTAGTGGATTGCTAACAGGTTCCAGTATTTTACAGTGTGGCTTTGGGTTTTGTTTTTGTCCATTTAAATTCATGTTTGCTGATTTTGCTGTGGCTTTTGACTTGCATTTTTCCTTTATTCTGTAACCATTTTTCTTCAATAAAAAAGGATTGTTTTTCACAGTCAAGTGTGGTGGATAGTTATCTTAGGGCCTCGTTCCCTGCTCTGGATTGCAACACCCAGCACTTTTTTAACCTGTACCCTTCATTGGCCCGGCCCTGGTTTTATTGCGTAATAGTGTAATGTTTTGTTGTTATTGCTTATGTTTTTAATTTGCTTGCATTGTATTGTTATTGTCTGTTGTTGTTGTTTGAGGCCTTGGCCTTTTTAAGCCGCATCGAGTCCTTTGGGAGATGCTAGCGGGGGTACAAATAAAGTTTAATAATAATAATAATAATAAAAATAAAGGCTTTGCAAAATTATAACTCCTGGAGTTCCATTGCATTCACCCATGGCAGTTAAACCGGTGGCAAACTGGATTAATTCTACAGTGCAGATGCACCCTAGGAATCTTATGTCAACAGGAGGGCATAATATGTCATAACTTGGCAGGCTGGAAATATTACTCTGAATCTTTAATATCCCCACAATGGCTCTATTTTCTATATAAATAAAAATGTAATGTTGATTTGTGAGGAGGAGGGAGCAAGCTTGTTTTCTGCTTCCCTGGAGACTAGGACGCGGAACAATGGCTTCAAACTACAAGAGAGGAGATTCCATCTGAACATGAGGAAGAACTTCCTGACTGTGAGAGCCGTTCAGCAGTGGAACTCTCTGCGCCGGAGTGTGGTGGAGGCTCCTTCTTTGGAAGCTTTTAAACAGGGGCTGGAAGGCCATCTGTCAGGGGTGATTTGAATGCAATATTCCTGCTTCTTGGCAGAATGGGGTTGGACTGGATGGCCCACGAGGTCTCTTCCAACTCTTTGATTCTTTGATTCTGTGGGATTAACATAATTCAAAAACCACTGGGCAGATTGATACCAAATTTGGACACAATACAGCTATTAGGCCAACGAGCGACCATCACTCATAAAAACACTGAAAAACACAACAGAAGAGACGTAAAAAGCCAAAAAATAAAAAATAAATGTCAACACATGCGCAAACAACATATATACACAAACACACATAGATACACATATAAACAATTGTATATACACACACATATATGCATATACACACACACAAAACACATATATACAGACTGGGCCACAGCAATGTGTGGCAAGGAACAGCTAGTTTGTGGCCCTGTTGTGGCCCTTATGACGTCACGCGTTCTATTCCCGTTGCCGCGGCAACCGAACTGCCGCTCGCTCCTTTCCCCATCTCCTCCCCCCCTTTTTTTTTTTAAATCACGCCGTCCGAGTGTTAGTATCGCGAGAAATGGTTAGCGCGGGTTCCTTTCCTCTCCTTCCTTGCGGCCATGCCACTTCTTTGACAGCTCGGCGCGCGGAGGGTGGGCGGAGCCTCCCAGGCGGTGACGTAAGAGGCCGGGGGCGGGGCCGCCGACTTGCACAGGTGGAAGAACGGACAGGTGGAAGCGGATGCGGAGGAGGCTCGAGCCGGACGTTTCCGGTGAGGGAGAAGGCAAGCCCCTCGCTCTTTATTTTGAGACAGGGAGGGAGGGAACTCAGTGGGGAGGTTGTGAGTAGGGTTGCTTCCTCTTTTACTTGGAGGACTAGGCTTATAAGTAAGGAATTGTGGCCCTATAACAGGCCTGGGCCAACTTGGGCCCTCCCTCCAGGTGTTTTGGACTACAACTCCCACAATTCCTAACAACCTCAGGCCCTTTCCTTTCCCCCCTGCTCTATAAACTATATTTAGAGGCCCTTCAGTGGCTCCCATATTCTGCTACACAGACATATAATCTGCTTTGAACTGGATTATATGAGTCTACCCTGCCATATAATCCAGTTCAAAGCAGATAATTTGGATTTGAGGTGGCAGTGTGAAGGGGCCTATGTTGTTATCTGCATCTGCTTCAATTCTTGAATGGTTACTCATAAGTCACCTTAAATACACAGCAGCCCTGCTCAGGTCCATCCCTCTGTAATGCACTATTTGTCTTTTCTCGCTGTGCTCAACTCTATTATTGTAAACTGGCATTAATTTCACTTCAACTAATTAATGTGAGATCTCTCAAGTCATCAGTAGCCCAGCTTAGGTCTCAGGATCATGGCTTCCTTCGTTGAGTCCATCCATCTGTAATGCTTTCCTTTTTCCTACTGCTTTCTACTTTATTATTAACTGTCATTCATAGGGACACCATGAGCTGAATTTGACTTATGAATGAGAGATGTATGAGTCAGGCCCCTTCCACACAGCAGAATAAAATCCCACATTATCTGCTTTGAACTGCAATACAGGGTGAGGCAGCGTAACTTCCTTTTTTCAAAACTTAATAAAACCCATTGTATGAATCAGTTTTTTTTTATAATGTAGGTGCATACCTAAAGTTTTGTTTTATGTAGTTTTGAAGATCAAATTAGGTAGGTGACGTCCCCCATTCTCCATACACTGAGTAAACCGATTTCTGGCATTTGTCATGACTCTTGCAAGCATAGCAGGCATTATGTTTGCAATTTCTTCCTGGATGTTGGTCTTCCAATCTTGTAGGGTCCTTGGACGGTTCACATAAACACGAGATTTAAAAAAAACCCATAGAAAAAAATCACAAGGGGCCTCCTCCACAGTCTCAGGAAAAACAAGCCTTAAAGAAGAGGCAAAGACCACCAGCATTGAAGCTATGCTTCTATGCTAGGGGTCCTCAAACTAGGGAAAAAAGGATGACCCAAACAACTACCGTCCGGTCAGCCTCACGTCGATACCGGGCAAGATTCTGGAAAAGATTGTTAAGGAAGCGGTCTGCAAACACTTAGAAACAAATGCAGTCATCGCTAATAGTCAACATGGATTTATCAAAAACAAGTCATGCCAGACTAATCTGATCTCTTTCTTCGATAGCGCTACAAGCTGGGTAGATGCGGGGAATGCCGTGGATGTAGCGTACCTGGATTTCAGTAAGGCCTTCGACAAGGTCCCCCATGACCTTCTGGCAAGGAAACTAGTCCAATGTGGGCTAGGCAAAACTACGGTGAGGTGGATCTGTAATTGGTTAAGTGGACGAACACAGAGAGTGCTCACTAATGCTTCCTCTTCATCTTGGAAAGAAGTGACAAGTGGAGTGCCGCAGGGTTCCGTCCTGGGCCCGGTCCTGTTCAACATCTTTATTAATGACTTAGATGAAGGGCTAGAAGGCAGGATCAACAAGTTTGCAGACGACACCAAATTGGGAGGGATAGCCAATAGACCAGAGGACAGGAGCAGAATTCAAAACGATCTTGACAGATTAGAGAGATGGGCCAAAACTAACAAAATGAAGTTCAACAGTGACAAATGCAAGATACTCCACTTTGGCAGAAAAAATGAAATGCAAAGATACAGAATGGGGGACGGCCTGGCTCGAGAGCAGTACGTGTGAAAAAGATCTTGGAGTCCTCGTGGACAACAAGTTAAACATGAGCCAACAATGTGAGGTGGCGGCAAAAAAAGCCAATGGGATTTTGGCCTGCATCAATAGGAGCATAGTGTCTAGATCTAAGGAAGTAATGCTACCCCTCTATTCTGCTTTGGTTAGACCACATCTGGAATATTGTGTCCAATTCTGGGCACCACAATTCAAGAGAGATATGACAAGCTGGAATGTGTCCAGAGGAGGCGACTAAAATGATCAAGGGTCTGGAGAACAAGCCCTATGAGGAGCGGCTTAAAGAGCTGGGCATGTTTAGCCTGAAGAAGAGAAGGCTGAGAGGAGACATGATAGCCATGTATAAATATGTGAGAGGAAGCCACAGGGAGGAGGGAGCAAGCTTGTTTTCTGCTTCTTGGAGACTAGGACGCGGAACAATGGCTTCAAACTACAAGAGAGGAGATTCCATCTGAACATGAGGAAGAACTTCCTGACTGTGAGCGCTGTTCAGCAGTGGAACTCTCTGCCCCGGAGTGTGGTGGAGGCTCCTTCTTTGGAAGCTTTTAAGCAGAGGCTGGATGGCCATCTGTCAGGGGTGATTTGAATGCAATATTCCTGCTTCTTGGCAGGGGGTTGGACTGGATGGCCCATGAGGTCTCTTCCAACTCTTTGATTCTATGATTCTATGATTCTAAGGACCGAGGACCAGATATGGCCTTCCAAGGTCATTTACCCAGCCCTCACTCAGGGTCAACCTAAGTCTGAAACGATTTGAACACACACAGCAACAACAACAACAACAACAACAATCCTATCTCATCAGCCAAAAGCAGGCCCACACTTCCCATTGAAATACTAATAAGTTTACATTTGTTAAAATTGTTCTTCATTTTAATTATTGTATTGTTTTAAAGTATTTTTTGCACTACAAATACGATATATGCAGTGTGCATAGGAATTCATGTTTTTTTTCAAATTATAATCCGGCCCTCCAACAGTTTGAGGGACTGTGACCTGGCACTCTGTTTAAAAAGTTTGAGGACCCCTGTTCTATGCCATCAACTCTGCTGGACTGGCCAAGTTACTATACTAGAACAAAAAACAGGATGTTGGTGGACAGAAAGAGATTTAAAGATGGACTTAAAGCTAACCTTAAAAACTGTGGCATAGAAACCAAAAACTGGGAAGCCCAGTTTCTTGAGCGTTCTAACTGGGGGGGTCAGCTGTGACCAGCGGTGCTGCAGAATTCGAAGAGGCACCTGATGGAGAGCGAAAGGGAGAAATGTGCCAAGAGGAAGGCACGTCAAGCCAACCCTGACCAGGACCGCCTTCCATCTGGAAACAGATGTCCTCACTGCAGAAGAACATACAGGTCAAGAATAGGGCTCCACAATCACCTACGAATCCATCGCCAAGGCACTACACTTGTAAATCCATCATACTCGGAGGGATTTCCTAAGAAGAAAAAAGAAATATAATTACCATAAATACCACTGAGAAAGTTCTCTGTTTTGTTACAATGTATTAGATGTTCTATGAAGAATGTGGGAATATCAGTCTGTCAGAAATGGTACCGTTATTACATGATGGATAGACAATTGCTGTTTATGGAGTTGCATGATATGAAACCTACTATGAGCATTATGTACTTCAGAGCTGCTTTTAAGCTCAGAGATAGCAAATCACACCTGATATTGCTTTGACAGATTTTTAATGCTTTATCTAACATTTGATAGATCTTTGAACAGCAAAATGAATTGCTCTTTTTTGCACCATCTTTCTCCTTCAATAGCAAATAAGAATTGAACCATCTTCCTATATAAAAGAGAACATTAATACCACATTGGTATTAATGTGGGTATGGGTCTTTTCTCCTTCCTAGGTAACTTGAGGAAACCAAAATCTCCAGGAATCATCACAAGTAATTTGGAAAATGTTTTCAGACTTAGAGGACATAGAGGAGGATAAGCTGTGAGTACTTTATTTTTATTTCCCATGGTTTCTATGTTGTTGTTCATTCGTTCAGTCGTCTCCGACTCTTCGTGACCTCATGGACCAGCCCACGCCAGAGCTCCCTGTCGGCCGTTACCACCCCCAGCTCCTTCAAGGTCAGTCCAGTCACTTCAAGGATGCCATCCATCCATCTTCCCTTGGTCGGCCCCTCTTCCTTTTGCCTTCCACTTTCCCCAGCATCATTGTCTTCTCTAAGCTTTCCTGTCTTCTCATGATGTGGCCAAAGTACTTCAACTTTGTCTCTAGTATCCTTCCCTCCAGTGAGCAGTCGGGCTTTATTTCCTGTGGGATGGACTGGTTGGATCTTCTCGCAGTCCAAGGCACTCTCAGAACTTTCCTCCAACACCACAGCTCAAAAGCATCGATCTTCCTTCGCTCAGCCTTCCCTAAGGTCCAGCTCTCACATCCGTAGGATACTACAGGGAATACCATGGCTTTGACTAGGCGGATCTTTGTTGCCATTCTGATGTCTCTACTCTTTACTATTTTATCGAGATTGGACATTGCTCTCCTCCCAAGAAGTAAGCGTCTTCTGATTTCCTGGCTACAGTCTGCATCTGCAGTAATCTTTGCACCTAGAAATACAAAGTACTGTCACGGCCTCCACGGTTTCTCCCTCTATTTTCCAGTTGTCAATCATTCTTGTTGCCATAATCTTGGTTTTTTGTTATGTTTAGCTGCAGCCCCGCTTTTGCACTTTCTTCTTTCACCTTGATTAGAAGGCTCCTCAGCTCCTCCTCGCTTTCGGCCATCAGAGTGGTGTCATCTGCATATCTGAGGTTGTTAATGTTTCTTCCAGCAATTTTCACCCCAGCCTTGCATTCATCAAGCCCCGCACATCGCATGATGTGTTCTGCATACAAGTTGAATAGGTTGGGTGAGAGTATGCAACCCTGCCATACGCCTTTCCCAATCTTGAACCAGTCTGTTGTTCCGTGGTCAGTTTTTACTGTTGCTACTTGGTCCTTGTACAGATTCCTCAGGAGAGAGACAAGGTGGCTTGGGATGCCCATCCCACTAAGAACTTGCCACAATTTATTATGATCCACACAGTCAAAGGCTTTAAGAATAGTCAATGAAGCAGAAGTAGATGTTTTTCTGAAACTCCCTGCCTTTCTCAATTATCCAGCGGATATTGGCAATCTGGTCTCTCGTTCCTCTGCCTTTTCTAAACCCAGCTTGAACATCTGGCAACTCTCGCTCCATGTATTGCTGGAGTCTTCCTTGCAGGATCTTGAGCATTACCTTACTGGCATGAGAAATAAGGGCCACTGTACGGAAGTTGGAGCAGTCTTTCGCATTTCCCTTTTTTGGTATGGGGATATAAGTTGATTTTTTCCAGTCTGATGGCCATTCTTGTGTTTTCCATATTTGCTGGCAAATGGCATGCATCACCTTGACAGCATCATCTTTTAAGATTTTAAACATTTCAGCTGGGATCCCGTCGTCTCCTGCTGCCTTGTTGTTAGCAATGCTTCTTAAGGCCCATTCAACCTCACTCCTCAGGATGTCTGGTTCTAATTCATTCACCACACCGTCAAAACTATCCTCAATATTATTATCCTTCCTATACAGATCTTCTGTATAGTCTCGCCACCTTCTCTTGATCTCTTCAGCTTCTGTTAGGTCCCTGCCATCTTTGTTTCTTATCATACCAATTTTTGCCTGAAATTTACCTCCAATGTTTCTAATTTTCTTGAAGAGGTCTCTTGTCCTTCCTATTCTGTTGTCTTCTTCCACTTCCATGCATTGCTTATTTAAAAATAGTTCCTTATCTCTTCTGGCTAACCTCTGGAATTGCGCATTTAACTGGGCATATCTCCCCTTATCACTGTTTCCTTTTGCTTTCCTCCTTTCTTGGGCTACTTCCAGTGTCTCAGCAGACAACCATTTTGCCTTCTTGGTTTTCTTTTTCTTTGGAACGTACTTTGTTGCCGCCTCCTGAACAATGTCTCGGACTTCTGTCCATAGTTCTTCTGGGACTCTGTTTACTAAATCTAGTCCTTCAAATCTGTTCTTCACTTCCACTGTATATTCGCTAGGAATGTTAGTGAGTTTCTATAAGTAGTATATGGTTTCTATAAGTAGTATTTATTCATATTGTGCTGTTTTGTTAAATTCTACTGGCAGTATTGGCCACCCAGTGATATTCTGCTGATATTGGAAAGGAGACCAAATAGGGTGTTGGAGAAAGGTTAAAGGGCATTTTAAAGCCAGACATTATACTCACAAGCCTTGCAGCTAAATTCAATCCCCACTCTCATGACTAAACAGAACAGACTGTAACTTTCCAGATGTTACTGTATCACAACTTCCATCAGCTCCAGTTGTGATGTCTAATGATACAGGAGTTGCATCTGGAGGGCCACGTAAAATGACAAGGTGACTGGATTTGGCCCCACCTGTCCTCTAGAATTATATATTTTAGAATTGAACAGATTGTAAAACAGATGTGATCATTTGCTTTTGATGTCTGCAGCTGACATTCTCCAAAATTGTATTTAAATCTGCATAAACAAAAAGGGAGATGGCCAAGGAATGTTGTGTTGAGCAGTAGGTAGAAACCTAAGTAGAGAAAATGCAGGTCAGATTTCTTGGGACCTCTGTAGCTTTGATAGAAACAGCAGAGACAGCTAGTTGTTGGTGGAAGCCTTTATGTTTGTGTGCCTCTGCTTTGTTCTAGGGGAATCCCTACTGTTCCTGGGACAGTGACTTTGAAGAAGGATGCTCAAAATCTAATAGGGATCAGCATTGGAGGAGGAGCTCAGTACTGCCCCTGTCTCTATATTGTTCAGGTTAGTGTTCACAGTAGATGAGTGTTTTATCTTTTGGAAGCGAAGGTCTATATGTTTTCAGCACAGAGCAATTCATAGTTTTGTAGGAACACTCTCAATTCCTGTGATTTTCCAACCCCTCTGGAGTTGCTTTGCAAAGAGCTGTAGGAGAAAAAAAATTGACTCTCCTGCACATTTTCTTCATTGAGAGTGACCACTCAATACTTTTTTCCCCATAGGAATTCTGGGCCCAGTATCCTAATTATCCTCATGCACCACCAGTTATTCTCTGTCATGGACAACTTGACTAGCAAGTCAAATGAGTTTACTTCATGTATCCACTTCCAGTCTAGTTAATTCCGCTTTGCCCCAAGTCTGGTAGAGAAGGATAATAGAAAGCTGTGAATAATCCTGAAAGCTGAAATCAATCCTGTCATGGATGCTGAGTGGGAAGAAATAGCAGGATACAGAGATAGTTGTGAATGTATTTAACATTCTTCAGCAACGAGGTATTAGATGGAAGATAGAAGTAACACCAATATTTTTTTCATGCCTAAATAGTGTGATAGAGAATCTAGAAAACAATGATTTATTATTTTAAATGTAGCTATTTAATTTCAGTGACCTGGCAAACACATCAACAGATGGGGTTCCGAAAACACTGTGTTAAAGCTAGGCTCTGTCATTCACAAACAGAAGCTGTTTGCCCAACAGAGTTCAAATCATTCGCCAGGGTCACTCTATAGCATTTTCAGTGCAATTGTCTTGGGAAGTCTGCTTCCATCAAGCCAACTGACCTAAATGGTTCAGCCCATTTATTATTGATCTCCAGTAGGAATTTTCAGTCTTGGAAAGTACCATACCACATAGATTCTTCCTGAAAGGATGGGATTTTTATGATTGAAGAAAGGCTGAAAATGGTATTTTTGCAGAGATACACAAATGTAAGAATTTCTGAATGTATTATCCATGACACTTCTAAAGTTTCCTGTAAATAATGTGTGCCAAGTAAGTGATAAGAAAACAAGCGAGAGCATGTTGCTGTTCTGGTTCCTCATTCCTTTCTTTGGCATTTTCATGCCTTCGCTTTTCACCTTAGGTATTTGATAACACTCCTGCAGCTCTAGATGGAACGTTGGCAGCAGGAGATGAAGTCACGGGTGTAAATGGAAAATCAGTGAAAGGAAAAACCAAAGTCGAAGTGGCTAAAATGATACAGATGGTGAAGGTGAGTAACAGGTGACGGTTACAGGAATACAAATCCATTGCTGCTGTTCAGTGGCAGTGGATTATACCTTCTCTTCAAATGCAAAACAGCAACTTCATTTTTTGTTGTTCTAGACGGAAGTGACGATTCACTACAACAAACTTCAAGCCGATCCAAAGCAGGGAAAGACCCTGGATATTGGTATCTGTCATACTTACTATCTCTCATGACATTGATGTAATTCAAGTAACACTGACTCTCCCAAGACATTTTCTTTAAGTAAACCCTTGTAAGTTTGTTCTAACCAGATAAAGTGTAAGAGATATGATCCTGTTCATGGATTGTGTATCTCTTTCCTGGAATACAGTTCTAAAGAAAGTGAAGCACCGTCTGGTGGAGAACATGAGCTCAGGGACAGCGGATGCTCTGGGGCTGAGTCGAGCCATCCTCTGTAATGGTAAGCTGCATCCTGGAGGAGATATTGAATTTGACTTTTCTGTGTAGTGACTTTACCTAGTAAGGAGAAAGCTTGTGTCTGTATTTCCATACATGTACAAAGCATGCATACTTTTGAAATTGGCCTTGAATATAGCCTATATTTGATCAATAATTCCTGGGAAGCAAGAGTTTTTATAGTGTAGTAGTTAAGGAATGAGCTTATGGATTATTTGGAAGCCATGGAACAAGCTATCGAAGCACAGAGTTGAAAGCAACCACAAGGGCTATCCAGTCCAACCCCATTTTGCCATGCAGGAACACACAAAACATTCCTGACAGATGACTATCAAACGTCTACTTTAAAACCTCAAGAGAAGGAGACTCCACCACACTCCAAGGCAGCATATTCCACCATTGGGCAGCTGTTACCATCAAGAAGTTATTCCTAATGCTTAGATGAAAACAATTCTCTAGAGCAGCGGAAAACAAGCTTGCACCATCCTCAACATGGCACACTTTCAAACATTTAAACATGGCTCTCATGTATCCTTTCAAGCTTGTCTTTGCCAAGCTAAATATACTCAACTCCCTAAATCACTTCTCACAAGGCTTGGCTTCCTGATCTCTGCTCAGACCTTACCTTGTCCAGATGATGCTCAGGTAGGCTGCTGTTTCTCATCTTTAGGTCATCTTCTGTGGCATGCAGATAATTATCATGCCAAATACAGACTTGCTGATAAGGACTGTCTCTTTTCTTACCCAATGTTAAGGATTGTTTGAATTTGTAAATACTATGCAAATTTATTTATCATGTCAGAAGTGAGTTGAGGGTACCGTTAACATGTATTTAAAAACACAAACTAAGTTTTAAAACTTGACATTATGCTAAATGTCCAGAAGCTAGCTACTTGGAGTGCCTCTGGTATCGCTGTGAGAAGGTCCTCCATTGTGCGTGTGGCAGGGATCAGATTGCATTGTAGTAGGTGGTGTGTGCTTTCCTTTTCTCCACACTCGCATGTCGTGGACACCACTTTGTAGCCCTATTTCTTAAGGTTAGCTCTGCATCTCGTGGTGCCAGAGCACAACCTGTTCAACACCTATACAAACAGAAACATAGAATAAAATAAAGTGTCATATATGCACGAATGCTACTAAATATCCTGACAGTCTGACTATGGTACCAGAGCCTAATGTTACATATCTTTTAAAAAAAAAAAAAGCAGTTAGTTGCTATTACTTGTTACAGTCTTTGAGGGATGATCTGTTGCCAATATAATGTTGGGAAATGAGCTAATTGCATTGCTTGTTACTCTTGTTACTTTTTTTTTTAAAAGAAACCCTTTATTATTACTAAATAAGTATTTTAACACTGGAAACATTCTTACCAAAACCAGGGCTCAGGAGTCAGTATTCCAAAACTCCATCTCTTCTGTTTTCATGCTGTCTTGACTCTGACTAAATTGTAAATTTATATTAATTAGTAATATTTATTTTACTTTAGAAAATGGTAGCACAAAGCATTTCATCACTACCACATCAGGCTACTTAGATGGATAGAACATTAAATATATTTAACTAATTGACATTTCTGTATAAAAAATCTTTCTGAAATTCTTGTGAAAGTAACTAGGCATTTAATATAAGTTTGTTGTTTTGAAGCCAATGTTGGAGTCAGAACATTTCTACGCCAACTCAGATTCCACAGCTATGACTCCAAAGCCCTGGCCAAAATGCCTAGAAAATAATTTTAATTTGCCTTTCAATGTAACATTTAGAATTGCTTTGAAAGTGCTGTTCATTATATCAATGAAGTAAATTTATCACTGCTTCTTACATTATGTTTTTAAAAGCACTTCATTATACCTTTATACACAAAAAAGTAACAAAGCTAGGTTATTTGTTACTGGAACTGTCTGTTCTGCAGATTCTTTGGTATGCTGTACCTTTTTAGCTCCTGCTTTTTGTTTCTGGAAAATGCTGATCTGGGTTACCTTTTGATTTGCTCTGGAACTTTTTAAATCTCTGATTTGGAGATGTCACGTTCTATTCATGCATGGCTGATGATTCTTGCCTGTCAGCTCTTATCTGAATGTGAATTGTCCTTATTGCCAAATCTTGAAGAATTATTTCCATGTTATGCAGGTTCAGGATGAGGTGTATTGTGTATGTCTAGGATGTACAAGAACTTTGACAATGGAAACCCTAACAAGTATAATTCTGTGAAGTTTCATTGTCCATTCCAATTTGCTCTCTTGGGGCATAACATGGAATTAGCAAATCAATATTAACCAGTCCTTGTAATTTTATAAACTCTCTGCAGATGGCCTGGTGAAAAGACTGGAAGAGTTGGAAAGAACTGCTGAACTGTACAAAGGTAAATGTATTATTTCCTGCCTGCAGCCAGGAGAATTTATTTTGCCTTTCAGGACTCACACTGGTGGTTATTTATTGAGAAATTGTACACAGTCCCTGTTCACCTTTGACCTCCCATAATTCAGCCAGCCCAGCTTCATCCCTTCCACGTGCATTAGCTAAACAGAGGTTCAAACTCTGGTCTCCAGATTCTTAGTCCAGCACTCAACCCTCTATAACAAGCTGGTTCTCAAAGTGGGAGGGATTACTTTGTAGAAAAGCTGAATATAAAATTCACCAAAATTTAAAATAGTTAAACTCATAACCAGGTTTGTAACTTCCTTTTCTCACTTTTTAAATCTTCGAAGTGAATTACAAAATTGTCTCTGGTTTCTCAAAAAGTGGCTGTGCAATATCAGCCAACATTATTCTCTTGTCTAGTTCCAGAGGGCCATTCATCTTGTTGTTTTGTGCTCAGGCAGTAAATGTAGAAACTACAAAATCTCTGATATAGTGTGTCCTTACTGGATGACCATTGTTCCTTTTCTTTGCTTCGATCTAGGTATGACAGAACACACAAAGCATCTCCTCAGAGCTTTCTTTGAACTATCCCAGACTCATAGAGGTAAACACTCCGGAAGACTGCATGGTTCAAGATTACTTCATGAAGCTACTTGAGCTAGCAATAGAGCAAATGATCTTCAGCAATTTAGGAACAGTGTCCAGCTTTAAAAGTTACAACAGCCTTTATAGAAGGATCTACATTTCTATATAGGAAAGTTAACACTTAGCTATCTATCTATCTCTCTGGAGACATCTTGTCTCTTTCCATGCTCACAGGAGAAAAACAAAATGGAAGATTTGGCTAGAAACTTTGAATAAAAAGTTTTGGGAAAATTGCATTCATAACTTTTTTTAAAAGGAAAAATGATGTCATATCTTTTTGGCAAATGTGAATCTCCATGAACATCTGGAGATCACCTTTTGAAAACCACTAGTCAAGAAAAGGCATTACCTTGTTAGAAGTCAACCCTTTTAAAAGGTGATGTTCACAAGCATTCATGTAATAGCACACATGTAACTCATCTGTTAAACTGATAAAGCATGTCTTTGAATTACCAGGGACAAAGACATGCCACTGCACAAAAAACATATATTTGGCTAGCAGAGTTTTAGAAACGTTTCTTTGAAGTTGATGTTGAACTTGCAGTTGCCCAAAACATATACTCTCCCTTGAAACCTCTAAGTTTAAAATATGCACTCAGAGACAGAAACAAACTATTCTTTAAAAAACTCACAAACATCTTGTATTGATTCAGCATACAGGCACATTTATAGATAGGATGTAGTTTCTGTGTGTTGAGAACACAGGGCATCATTCTTACTCAATAGTCCAAAGTCTTTAAGTATACATCTTATGAAACTCCAAACTGCATAATTATACTCACTGCTTTTCAAAGCAAACATATATTAAACTGTTCTTGCATAAGTCCAAAATGCAGACTGTTTCCATTGAAGTCCAAAAGCATACTGCATCCACCTCCACTGAAATATAAAGGAAACTGATAACAAAATGGAGTCTTGAGTCTGAACATGCTTAGTACAATCACATGTCTGTAGACACTCCCACACCACATAAGTTAGTCAAACTGGCAAATCAACATGTACAAACAATGCAGGTGAGCAAATATATACATTAACAAACAAATAGTGAAGGCTTGGAATGTTGCTATTTCCAACAAAAAGAGATGTGTCCCTGAGAAGTATCAGTTTAACAAACAGGAGACAGCAGGAGAGAATAGAGTGACAAAGAGGGCAATGGGGGAAAAGGTATACTATATTCATGGTCATGAATATGCCTTGAAAATTAATTGCATGATATTGCATGGTATGGTTTTAAACAGCTGATTTTAAAGTAGATATGACTAATTTTAATGTTTGTGTATATTTATAGTTATTTTATGTGCCATTTGTATGTTGTGCTCTGCCCTGAGTCCCCTTTGGGGTGAGAAGGGTGGAATATAAATGTTTCAGATAAATAAATAAATATTGCCCACAATCCCCAACAGTATATTTATAATGTTTTCTCCCCTAGCATTTGGTGATGTTTTCTCAGTCATTGGTGTTCGGGAGCCTCAGCCGGCTGCTAGTGAAGCATTTGTAAAATTTGCAGATGCCCATCGCAGTATTGAGAAGTTTGGGATCCACCTTCTCAAAACCATCAAGCCGGTAAGGATTTTTATGGGATGGGACAAATAAAAAAAAATCATTGTGTACAAAAGAATTTGAAATTAAAATACAGGTGCCTCCAGATATGTAAAAAGAGTAAATAATTTCAACAAAATAAATTCAACCTGCCTATTTATCCATTTGCAACCAGTCTTTCTTGAAATACCATAAATTCTTTTCCTCCTCTCCCGTTCTTTTCCTTCCCATTTCTCATATGTCACATACAGTCACTTACAACATTTCAGAAAATGATTTTCACTAATTTGCTGCCTATTCCCTATGACATTCTTTCAAATATTTTGAATTGGCTATCATGTTTCCTCTCAGCCTTCAAATGAAAGAAAGTCGTTAAGATCACCAAAACAAAGTGATCCTAATTTTTAACTAATGCAATTCTCCTAAAACACTTTTTGCACTTTGCTATAACTCTTAAATACTTAGTGGAAGTTTATGAAAATCATTTTCTGAAATGATGCATGGCTGTACATCATCAGTGAAAGGATGGTAAAGAATACAGTGGGGAGGAATGAGGAAGACCTAGGATATATTTTTTTTAAAAAAGAATTTGGATGCAAATGTGTGGAAAATCACAAGAAATAGAAGTGGGAACTCCCAAAACTTCCAGAGATCTTTTTTCCCTTCTGGGTAAATCATACAATATTTATTGACAAGCAGAAATAGAGAACTTGTCTTCCCCAAGTGGAGCAATTAACTCTTGGAGCAAGTCATGGGGAGACTCAGCTGATGGTGAGCAAAGCCAGAGGCAGAAGTAGACAGAATCTCCCAATGTTATCTCATATGTCTTTTCCTATGTTTGCTGCCAGCAAACATTAAGTTTGGCCATGGTCAGAAGCTGTTCTGGCCTTATAATGTTGTAGCTCGCCTTTGGGAAGGGATAGAAATGTTGTGTCCTCATCATGGCCTGGTAAATTCCTTGAGACTATTTTTCTAGTTCACGCTGAAAAACCTGGCCTGCTCAGTTTTACTTAATCTTCATTTTTCAAGATCAGTCTCTTCTTACAGATGTTGACAGACCTGAACACTTACTTGAAAAAAGCCATTCCAGATACAAGGGTAACTATCAAGAAGTATTTGGACGTCAAGTTTGAATATTTGGTGAGATGCTCTTTTATTCTTTTTCACCCTAACAAAATAATACTATTTCTTTAGAAAATTACAAGTCCTAAAGTCTGAAATAGTCTCTTGTCAAGATAATTTCAAACATTCTCTCTTTCTATATGTTGCTTAGATGTAAAAAAAAATCCCAAATGTATTTGTTTTGAATGTATTGAGCATTGAAAGCATTTCAGACTTGAATTAAGAATTTAAAGCTTAAAACTATTATATGTGTACTCTGAAATCATGACTGTGGCTACTTCCACTTGTTTTGCAAGGAACTGAACAAAATAAAAATACCCTTTCAATAGGAAAGATAGAAAACTACATTACAGATAAATAGATTGATTGGTTTGAGGAAGCAGCCACCCTGAACTGGCAAAATCTGATCAAAGATCTGTTGGTGACTAGGACACTTCCCCATGTATGCTGTAACATTGTGTATTTCTTATTCCATCTCAGTCTTATTGTCTCAAAGTGAAGGAAATGGATGATGAGGAATACAGCTGCATTGTAAGTACTGAGTCCCTAATATGTTGTCTACTTCCATTGCAATGTAGAGTTTGCTCATAGTTATACCTGACTTGGCTGTTACTATACACCAAAATGTAGGTGTGATTTGCACTGTGTCCATACTTCCCAAAGTGTTTGGCATTATTCTGCAGGGTCTTGCACACCTATGGAAGTTGTTTCCAAATATGACATCTTACAACACATGTGTCAAAACCAAGGCCCTGGGGCCAAATCCAGATGCTGGACTGCAACGCTTGTTTCTTCATTATTAGAGATAATAACTAGAGCTGATGAGAGTTGGGCTACAGTAACACCTGGAGGGCTGCAATTTGTTGTGTTTAGTCAGGATAGTGGTGTTTGAATTTAGATAAAAGGTTTGAGGGTATGATATCTGACTTTAAAATGTCCTTTAACCTTTTCCCAATCTCAGAGCCACAAGTGCTCTTGGGTTGCAGTTCCCATTCTTCCCAGTCTGGGGTAAAACAAATATATATATATAGTTGGCTCTGTATATCCACAGATTTTGTATCCACGCATTCAATGGCCCTTTGAAAGCAATCATAAGGCTGATGTGCCCTTGATGAAAATGACATCCCTGCCTTACCAAATGCCTTATCTGTGACTCAGTTTTTCTTAAATTTTAAAGACATCTCAGAAAAACTTGCTAGAAAACAAAAGTTTAGACTTCTGAGAAGGTTGTAGTATAAATAATTAAGGTTTCTACAGCTGACTCCAAGGAAATGGGGTTGGCAATATTGGACCAGCCCTTGGAACAGTTGTTTTTTTGGATTACAGCTACCAGAAAAGCCAGCCAGGAATTTCAAAGCTCTATTTTTTGTGTGTTTTGCCTTGCCTGCCCCCCAGTCCTTTTTCTTGAGAAAGATATATGCCAGTCCTCTTCTTGGACAATGATTAAAAGACAGTTCCGACCTCTTGTACCCCAGTCTCAATGTGGAATCTCACAAACATAATTCAAGCTTCATTGAAAATACATTTTCTTCAACATTTGATCATCACCATAAGACCGGTGTGGAAGATATATAACCCTAAGAGTACTGAAAGACTACTCATTCTCTACCCTGATCCAAACGCTGGTTAGATAATAAATCGAATAATTTAAATCTAGAGATACTTTCTCTCATTGTTCATTCTTTCTGAGAGTGGCCCTATACTCCTGCACACAGACCTGCCTTAGAACTGAACTGAAAGCCAAACCACATGAAATATGGGTAGAAAGAGAGGAACATGGAACATCTGAAGTATCAATCTTGTGTGTAGGGGAAAATAACCTTTTCTGAGGTGAGAGGTTGAGATCCAGCCCCATAACTAGCACTTCATATATTCCTCTTTCCAAATAGAGGGTACTGCCAAGAGAATGTGCAAAACTACACATGACGTTCAAATATATAGGTTTAACAGGAGTGCTGTACACACATGAGAGTAGAAATTCCTGTCAATAACACACACTCTTCTGAATGTGGAATAAGCATAGACATCCACCTCAATGTTTCTGCGTCCCATGTGATTTAGCCTGTTGCTCGGAATTTTAACCACTCTGCCCTCAGGGTTGTAGGCTTCTGCCCATTCCTCCCTAAAAGCTACCTCAGTGCTTTGAGCTTTTCATGTTGGGCTAGCAGCCAACCAGTGCTGCGGTATCATCGTGGGAGGAACTGGGATTTGCTAGGGCATATCGGGAAAGCATTTAAGAAACCATTGCATAATGTATGGAAGCTCGATACAGTAATGTGGTGTCTTGGGCAGGCACTTGGAGAACCGCTCTATCGGCTCAGCACTGGGAATTATGAATACAGATTAATTTTGCGTTGCCGCCAAGAAGCACGTACACGCTTTGCCAAGATGAGGAAGGATGTCCTAGAAAAGGTGGAGCTTCTAGACCAGAAACATGGTAAGTGTAGCTGCTTTATTTCTCCCAGTCTGAAGGATTGGTTTGCAAACTTTACTATTACAGAGACTCCCATATCCTTGAACAGACATAGAGACACGGTTAGACCTCTTAAGAGAAAAATAACCTAATACTAACATATTTCCATATTTTCCATAGAAGTATGCTTCTTCTACTTTTCACCTGGAGTTGACTATATTCTTCCATTAGTAGTTCCAAACAGCCTATCCAGATGCCAGTATTGAAATACATATATATCACCACTGCAGTGCAAGAATGTGTAACTGGCAAACCAAGATCCATATGTTTTATGGCAGAGTAGGAGGACCGTGCCATCACTGGTGCAGTTTTCCACACTTTTCAGTGTGATGAAAACTTGCCTGTCTTCACTGCAGGAAGGATTTGATACCAAAAAGGAGTCCTGAAATTCAACCTTACCATATCATTGCAGTTTTTTTCCAGTGGGGGAAGGTAAAAAGATTAAAGTCAAATAAAAGGAGTAGGACATGGGTGTATAGGATTTTTTAAACTTTGAGAAAAGATATTTTATGCCTTTAGGGGAATTGCTAAGTATGAAAAAGTTTATTCTGTTGGTGTTTCGTGAACATTGGAATCTTTCATACACAGAAAGAGAGAAGACTCTCAGTTAACCAGCACCCATGGAGATTGGTAGATGCAAGATAAGTGTTGTTTCTGGTAGCTTGAGAGTTACTATTAAAATAGGCCTGACTATTCATTCTTACCATTCAGGAGATTTGATAAGAGTTTATCCACTGACAATTCTATGCTCTGGAAAAGGATGCTGAGTTCTGTTCTCCATCCTCATGGCTCTTCTGTTGCCTTTTCTCCCTCACAGTGCAAGACATTACATTCCAGCTCCAACGTTTTGTTTCCACCCTTTCCAAATACTATGATGACTCCTATGCCGTGCTGAGGGATGCAGATGTCTTCCCCATTGAGGTGGATTTGGCACGTACCACTCTGAGTTATGGCCAGAAGGATGTCTTCACAGATGGGGCTGAGGAGGACGACGATGATGAGGAGGAGATCAGTGGAGGTGTTGAATGTCACAAGAAAGAGGAAGAGGATGTTGAGAAACTCATTGACGATGCCTGAGTTCATGGACTTGATGAAGTAGAAAATCCCCGCAAGAGACTCATAAATTGTATTTCTCTAGCCAACTTGTCCAAAGTGGCTTTTCTCTCAGTATAAGGCCAGCCACAGGAAATCAAGATTGCTTGTGGGAGCTTGAAGGTCACTCGTACCCAAGGCACTTTTGCACAGTCCTCCAAAAAAAAAAAATCCTCCTCCCTTCTGAATGGCCTTTTCTCATAATCCTATTGTTCATATTGAGATGGTAAGAGGAATGAACTTTCTGAAATACCTTTTAGTCCCAGTATTGCCCTCCATGCAGAGGGGTGTGTGATTGAATGTGTGTGATACAGATCTGCATACATCTTGTCACTAAAATAGTGTGATCAGCCCAGGCTTCTCTTGTGTTCATTTAGTCCACAAACCAAACTGTGGAACAGCTCAATAATTTTCATTCCTTTTCGATGTCCTCCTCCACTGTTGATCTCTAACTGTGTTTCTTTAGCTGGTGAGTTAGAGTGAGAACATGTTGGTTCCCTTTATTAACCTTTATTAGACAAGAAAGGATGGAAGGCAAGTGAAAATTGAATGAAGCAAAATGAAGCCTTGGTGCAACTGATAATTTAAAGGGTGCTGGAGGAGAATCAGTCTCAGCTTTATCATTATAGATAGGCAATGTGGAACATGACATCGAGGCTAAATAACAATGCTTCATGTTCCCAAGCTCCACTGGTTTTCATGTGCAATGAGTTCTGGCTGGCCTTCACCAAATTTGATGCTTAAGGATCACATTGCCTGCCTTGTATGCTCTCCCACATAGGTGCCTCATTGGATGCTCTTTTTAAAAAACTTGCGCCTTATTTAGTATTTCACAAGGTGTTAGAATAGAAAACTCTATATCAAGAGGGATGGGGAAGGGTATCTATGGAAGGAGTCAGAGTTAACAAATTTGGACACTCCGGCTCTCAATTTGTTCCCTACACTTTCATGACATTCACACACACAGTTACTTTGATGCATTAAGAAATACTGCTGCTGAGTACAGAGCCTATTGTGGGCTTCACGCACACATCCAGACACACACTAACACCAAAGGAAATGTAAGGGAGATGGTCAGATATTATAAGGGGGAGTTCTCTTAATTCTGTACCATTATGAGGTTTTAAAGTGGTGTGTTTGTCCTTCTGGAAAGAAGAGAAATTAGTTTTTCTAGACTGCAATATAAGGGCATTAATTTGATATATATGCTTCTTGGTTTTGTTTTCTGTTGCTTCTTTCTTTGTACATGATTACAAAAAAGCCACACGGCCCAGGGTGCATTTCCATAGGCTTTTAATACATCAAATGGTATAGCTAATAAAGAGAAACATGAACTTCTCACCTTTTCTCTTTATTCTCTTGACTTCTAACATTTGCTTTATCACAGGAAGAGGCATGAAAGACAAGCACCATTGAGAAAACCAAGTTCCTTCTGTGGGAAGGAGGCATTTGCCACTAGAGGTATTATAGTATTATCACCCATCATAATTTCGAAATTCAAAAGTATGGTTAAGATAAATTCAGAGCTTGGCTTAAAGGACCAGTTCATCTATTGTAATAAGCGATCCACATAAATATTGTACTGCCGCACCAAGTACAAAGTCTCATTGAAAGCAAACAGATGTTTAATTATTCATGAACACTACATGGATTTTTAAAAGGTTATCCTAAATGTTTTCTGAATACAATATGTGCTCATAGCTGTTTTGATGGGTGGCAAGGTTCAATTTCCTTCCCAGGGTTCCTTCCGGGCACTCCATAGGCTTCCAAAATGTGGTTTTTAATAATAATAATAATAATAATAATAATAATAATAATAATAATAATAATAATAATAATAATTAGATGTGACTGATATCTTCTGTTCTTGAAAATGGGTGGGCTTTTAAAAATGATCAACCTTGTGAGCTATCTAAAAGGTGAATTGTCCCTTCTGAAAACTTCCAGAACAGGCCATTCACATCAGAAAAATGAGCAATCTGAGGAAGGTGGGGAGTAAAAAAATATTATTGGGGTGCCACATGCTAAGCCCATCCCACAGTCTGCATCTTTCCCCTGTTTCCCTCATAAAGAATGCTAACAGGAATGGTTCCAGTTAGCAAGGACTGTAGCTGTAATGTCCTCCCATTGCTTGTTGCTATCCATGGTTTCACATAGATTTTCTGAGGCTGCTTTCTTTATGCAGCTGTTGGGCTGTATGAAAGTGATCTTTGTGCGCAATGTGTCTAGTGGTAAGCTTTACAAAATATGCAAGGCTATGTGCGGGCACACAGAGTTTGCTCTGTCGTCAACCTCCCATCTGCATTATCACAGGCATAGTAAATCTGCAGGCTTTTCTTGGCTTCAGGGAGTAGAATATTGGAGAAACTAAACATGCAGATCGTATCTTGCAAGTGCTAATTACAGTCATCACTCATTAGATTGTAGTTGCATTGCCTTTGGCAGGTTGCTAGAGAAACAGTTGCAGATAATTTCTTTGTCTTCTTCAAAGACAATATGCCTCAAAATTCAATCCAATATATTGCATTAAATTGCTAGAGGGTGAGCAAATTGGTCTCATGATGGCTGCAATGCTGTGTCTGCTTAGAAGACAGCTGGGTGGGCTCAAGCCATTCATTCTGTTTCCTCAGTGCTTGTATATACCAAACCCTTCATCCTCATTTATAAGTCTGATGAGGATGACTAGAGGACCAGTTCTGTACCTATAAGGTGGTCTACCTGCTGTCAGCTTAAGGGAGACAATATGGATCTTTTAAAGAAGGACATTAGAACAAGATGATGAAGAGTTGTTGAATGGGCAATCCTATGTGGATGCAAGTGCTGCCTTCAGAAGAACTGTTTTGGTCACCACCAGACATGTCCCTATCCACCTTCATCATGGATAAGAGATTGTAAGACCTGTAGTCAGCGAAATCTGTTTAAAAGAAATGCTCATCAATCTTGTGCTGCAAGTGTTTGCCTTCCCCAATTCTTCAAATATTTGATAGTGTTTGTATATTAGAACATAGTTTTCTCTCTTGTCTATACAAACAAGACAAGTCTATACTATTTTGTGCACTCTCTATCCCTATTTGTACTTTTCACATTCCGTAATAGCTACAGTTGGAATTAGATGATCCATTACATATGATGATGATGATGATGATGATGATGATGATGATGATGATGAATTAATTGTATATCAACTTCCTAACTCTGTTGCATGTAAAGGTTAGATTTTTAACAAAACATAACAATGAATTGGAAAGCTAAGTTATTGTGTGATACATTTGAATTATCACAAAAATAATACGACAGGGCTGTATGACTTACTCCCAATTCAAAATGCTTGCGGAAAAACTGATTTTGTGATGTCCCAGACATTGTGAAGTAACGTCCCATCTCGTGTAGCCTCTGTAAAACATATTAATTGTCTGATCCCTCTGTGATGTAACACAGTTCCTTTAAGGTGTTGTTCTGGGGCATTTTAGGTCAAGTTCTTGAACCAGGCGGAAGGAAGGGCTTTGACATGGGCTGTTTACTGGAGACCTGGCTGTAAAGCAGATTAAGTGTGATTTAGGCATGCCCAAGAAGGTAACTTTCATCCAGAAATCCATCTTTAACGACCTGGGAAGCCTTTAGCCTAATTTTCTTGTTGTTCAAGAAAAAAAGCTTTTATTTCAGCCTCTTGCCTGCTGCTTGTTCTTTGGCGCAAACATTCTTTCCTTTACGTAAAGGGGGGTGGGAAATCTATCTTGTGTTAAATTACTGGGAATGTATTGTTCCCCATGATTGTGGTGTGTCTTCCTGGGAGATTGCAGACACTCTATGAAAATGTACCCTTTCAGATGCTGGACTGTTTCCATCAGCCTTGTCCAGCATCAACAGTTACGAAGAACTGTTACGAAGAATAAAGAGGAGGCAATAGAGTAACAGCTGCCAGGCCACATTGGCCCACCTCTGTTGTAAGGGTGCAATTTGGTGCAATTACCACAAAGTGACAAATTTATTTGAAACACAGATAACTGGTTTAATAATTGGATGCCATTAGATGGTGTCAAACTACAGCAGTTTGAAGGACAAATATTCTCACAAAAGTAACATACTGTATCTTGAATTAACAGGGCTAACAGTTTAGGAGGTAGTCAGGTTTCCACTTGCTTTTGTCATTGGTGCACTTTTTTCATCTTCTCATCTAATTACTTTTAGTCATTTCAAAGGTTCAGAATTATTGCATACTGGACATACTCATGTTGCATCTGCTATATTTATAGTAAACCTGGCTTTTCAAAGTTTTTGAGATTTGATTACCAGCTCTTTATATTTCTAGGCTACCCATGAATAAAGTAAAAATGACACAAATTTGACATGGTAAAGAAAACCAATCGACCCATGTGACTCAACTGGATTGTTTCAAATTACTTGACCATTGATAAACCTGCCTAGATAATCTAAAATCAGTGCAAATAGAACCATTGTTCAATGGCAGTGAAATACCACAACAAGGTCTGCTCTTGCTTTTAGACGATCATTACCAAACTCTTCACTTCCATGTACGACATGCATAGATGTGGCTGAATCTTTGATAGAAACGTATGTTCTTTTGGACATGTCCACAATACAAAAGATTAGGTAAAGCAATTGTTTTTATTGACTTATTACAAGCATTCACATTTCAAAAGGATTAGAATGGAAGCTAAAGTGAATCCTGGTATAAAAAACAGGTTCTGTTAACAGCAAAAAACAAAACAAAAACCCTGACTTCTCTTCAAGAAGCACATTGCTCATTAATGTGAAGTATTTCTGTCTCTCTGGAAATGCATTAGTTATATAAGTTCTTAGAACTCCCTGGTTGTATAAGCCATAAACAATAGGTTTAGGCATTAATGGCATCAAAAATGGCAGAAGATGTTATAAGATGCTCTATCAAAGCCCATCTAATCCACGATTCTGGCTGTGGTACTGTTGGTTGGTGTAAACTATGCCATCGTAAAAGGTGGGGTAAATGGTAGTAGGCACTGCAAGGAAGAGTGTGGGAAGTATAAGAGTGGCAGTGAAAGTCATTTCTTTCATCAGAGAAAAGTACACTGCCAGATCCCAAAATTTCTCTGGCAATGGAAACAGCTCTCTCTGGGTTGTTGTGAGTTTTCCGAGCTGTATGGCCATGTTCTAGAAGCATTCTCTCCTGACATTTCACTTGCATCTATGGCAGCCATCCTCAGAGGTTGTGAGATCTGCTGGAAACTAGGAAAATGGGGTTTTTATAGCTGTGGAATGTCTAGGGTGAGAGAAAGAACTCTTATCTCTTTGAGGTAGGTGTGAATGTTGCAATTGGCCACCTTGATTAGCATTTAATGGCCTAGCAATTTCAAGGTCTTTGCTTCTTACTGGCTTCTTTCAGACCTCACAACATTTGAGGATGCCTGCCATAGATACAGTCAAACATCAGAAGAGAATGTTTCTGGAAAGTGGCCATACAGCCCGGAAAACTCACAATAACCCAGTGATTTCGGCCATGAAAGCCTTTGACAATACAGCTCTCTTTGCTTTCTTCCCTCCACAATCAGACAGCATTCCAAACAGTGCCATACATCAGTGTAACAGGCATTGCACTCATATAAATCACTAACAGGATTCCAATCCGTTCACATAGTGGCCATATCCAGCTCATGTCTTGGTATATGGTCAGATCAACATTCCAGTCACCAAGAACCAATCTACAGAAGGAATACTCCCTTACTCATAGAGATGTGTCCAGCGGTAGGCATCACCTTATCACAAACGATCTCTAACAAGCTTTGGCACTCCACTATTCTTTCCAAGTATATCATATTGCTTTCTTTTCTTCTGGTATTTGGCACATTAAAAGAATTATATCCTATACTTTCTCAGGTAAGGAGCAACATCTTACTTAAGCATTGTAATTATTACACTGTTTCCTCCTTTCCTGGGCTCTGGGTTTGTAGATGAAATTTTAAAAATATATGTATCAAATAGATCAACATTATCAGCCTGGTCACTAAGCGGCTCTAATTCTCAGGTTTGTCAAGGTAGTCCATGCATTGCAGGAAAATATATGAATTCCATAGAACATTCAAGGGAACAACATGGCTTGTTTTCCTCAGGGAACTCTGTTCATGGGGCCATCCCATTGTATAAAAAACACTATTCTCAGGCTACTATTATTCTCTCCTCCCACCATCCAAACTTGTCAGCTTTCCCTATATACTTTTGCTTCAGCCAGACTAGGTCCCGTGCATTGTTAATACTGTCTTTGTTGATTGAATTCAACCTCCATATAGTTAAAAACTGTTTCTTTCAACTGTGTGAACCACATTGCCTCCTCCTGGTGCCAAAACTTCACCCTCCCCATCTGGCTGCCCAGCTCCGTCGACATGCCTGTTCTCTGCAATGTGATTCACAACATCACCCCCAGCGTTGTTGATGCTGTGTGAGAGGTGGGGATGGTCACCAGGATGGTCCTCGCCTTCCTGTATGTCAGATTCGGCTTCCTCTGTTTCGCTCCCACCACCACCTCCAGGAGGATTCTCCTCTGGTTGAGAAGTCTTCTTTTTCCCCCTTCTCAGGCAGCAATAGGAAGCAATGGCCAGGAAGAGAGCTGACAACACAACCTCTGAGCCAGCCAAGTAGAAGATAACCTCATACCTCTTAAGTGCATCCACCAATCGCCCTGGGGTGAAACAAAAAAAAGAAAAAAAATTAGCAGCATCGTGCATTGTAGTATTCTTCCATGTAGTTACTCTATTAAAACACTTGTCAAGGACTTGAAGTTTTAGAAAGAGAGGCCCATTATTGGTATCCATATTTAATCAATTAATCACACCTATTTTTCTGTCTAAATGCTGAAAGCAACAGAAGCTACAGGCCAATGGGAACACCTGGCAAGGGGAAGAGGATAAACATGTTGGATAACATCCTGTTGAGCAGTTATGAATACATAAGCTGAACATATACATTCATAATTGATTAGTGGTCATGTTTATAAGCACACCACGATTACCAGGATCACAAATTGCTGTTCTGTGCTCTCAAGTCATTTTCAACTTATGGCAATTCTAAGGTCAACCTGTCAGAGGCATACTGAGTGATGGAAGATTGTTATGCAGGCAATCGGGGTGCAGCAGAGCAACATGTCAAGTATTGTTCTGCCAGCATTCTCCAGTGTGACAAGGACTTGTGACAGGGCCCTGCATCTAATTGTTGCATTGAATATTGCTGGGTTGATATCTAAAATGGTTTTAGTAAAGGCCTTTAAGCTGCAGCTGTAATACTGCACCTGTTCACAATGGATCTCTCTGTGTGTATGTGTGGTCTTCAAGTTGCCTGTTAACTTTATAGAAATCCCATTAATTTCCCAAGGTTTTCTCAACCTGGGGTCCACAGATGTTTTTGGCCTTCAACTCTCAGAAATCCTAACAGCTGGTAAACTGGCAGGGATTTCTGAGATAAGATAAGGAAACTTAGATAAGGAAACTCAGAGGTAGGTTGTAAAGTTCCTTCCTATGAAGTATAGCTTTGAGAACTTGTTTGTTGTTGTTGTTGTTGGCAGCCTCCCATCCAAATACTAACCAAAGCTGTGCTTCCAGGATCAGATGGTGCCTGGTCTGTTTAGAGTATTTAGTTCTCTACTATAAACAAACCTTCCTGAAAAGGTTCCTGAGTCTCATCACTGTAGCAGAACACTTTCTAGATGAGTCTAGTCATTCACAAATAAGATGGGTAGACAAGAAATGTGTACTATTCTTGTTAAGCTCCTTGTGTTTCCTCAAGAAACCTGCCCATGGATAAACTGGAGCTATAAACTGGAGATTCACAGCCATATTAAAAAAAATCATTCTTCCAGCATAATAGAAGCAATCATGACAGGTCAGGTTGAATAAAAACAGAGTAAAGGAATCATCAATATATATATATATAGGTGTAGAGAAAACAGAAATAATAATATTTCAGCAGAAAAAATAGATGACCAAAACACTGCACTGGAAAAATGGCCATGTTATTGGGTTGTTGTAGGTTTTTCGGGCTGTATGGCTATGTTCTAGAAGCATTCTCTCCTGACGTTTCACCTGCATCTATGGCAGGCATCCTCAGAGGTATGCATTTCATAAATGCAGACAAAACGTCAGGAGATAATGCTTCTAGAACATGGCCATGCAGTTCGAAAAATCTACAACAACCCAGTTATTCTGGCCATGAAATCCTTCAACAATTGCCACGTTATGTTAGAACTTGCAATCATGAGAAAGGACAAAGAAGAATATAATATAATATAGACCTTGGATTTCAGGACAACTGATTTGAATAAGTTCAGGGAATTGCTGGGAGGAATCATTTGGTTAGACATGCTAAGGGGGTGGGAGTGTGGGAAGTTCTTTAGGAATGAATTGCAAAAAAGGACCATCATCAACAAACACATGAAAGAAGACAAATGAGAAACACTGGAAAAATTAAGAAAAAGGAAAAAAATAATATGTAAACAGAATGGAAAGACAAATCACCAAAGAAGGGTACAGATGTGTAACTCAAGTTTGTAGGAATAGTATATGGAAAGCTAAAGCTCAAAATCAGCTCAGACTGGTTGAGGAAGAAAATAGCAATACTTTTTCCTACATGCATTTGAGGAAATAGAACAGATGACCAAAGGYATAGATACAAAATGCTAACCAATCACAATGAAAAGACAGAACTATGCAATACCTATTCTGCTTTCACCCCCCCCCCCCCAAAAAAAAAAGCAGTAACAGAGCCCCTAGCAAGAGATCTTCCAACTATTTGATTCCCTGAGACTATGGCACTATCAACTGAAGTATCATGATTTCTCACTGATATTGGATGGGCATGCTGCACATGCTCAAGAGTACACTCTTCTTCCTGGTCATATCCCTTTTCAGTGATGATGATTATTACTATTACTATTTGTTTTCACTCCAGCAAAGGATCACCGCCTTGGTGGGGGCGCTGGAGCTTGAGCACCTCAATGATGTCATGAGCGAAACCGTGAAGGGCCACCCAAGACGGGACGGTTGTGGCAGAGAGGTCAGACCAAGCGTGATCCCTGGGGAAGGCAATGTCAAACCACTCCAGTATCCTTGCCAAGAAAACTAAATGGACCAGTACAACCAGAGATATGTCGGTATGCCATTGGAAGATGGGACTCCCAGGTCGGAAGATGGCCAAAATGCTACTGGGGAGGAGCAGAGGATAAGTTCAACTAGCCCCAGATTTGATGACGCAGCTAGCTCAAAGCCGAAAGGAAGGCTAGCGGCCGACGGTACTGGAGGTGAACGACGAATCCGATGCTCTAAAGATCAACACCATAGGAACCTGGAATGTAAGATCTATGAGCCAGGGCAAAGTGGATGTTGTTATTGGTGAGATGTCAAGACTAAAGATAGACATTCTGGGGGTCAGCGAACTGAAATGGACTGGAATGGGCCACTTCACATCAGATGACCACCAGATCTACTACTGCGAACAAGAGTACCACCGAAGAAATGGAGTAGCCTTCATAATTAATCAGAATGTTGCTAAAGCGGTGCTTGGATCCAACCCAAAAATGACAGAATGATCTCAATTCGAGTGCAAGGAAGGCCTTTCAACATCACAGTGATCCAAATATACGCCCCAACCACAGCTGCTGGAGAAGCAGAAGTAGATCAGTTCTATGAGGATCTGCAGGACCTACTGGATAATACACCAAAAAGAGACATTATTTTCATTACAGGAGACTGGAATGCCAAGGTGCGAAGTCAAATGACAACTGGGATCACAGGCAAGCATGGTCTGGGAGAACAAAATGAAGCGGGACGCAGGCTGATAGAATTTTGCCAGGAAAACTCGCTGTGTATAACGAATACTCTCTTCCAACAACCTAAAAGACGGCTTTATACATGGACCTCACCAGATGGTCAACACCGAAATCAGCTTGACTACATCCTTTGCAGCCAAAGGTGGCGGACATCCATCCAGTCGGTGAAAACAAGACCTGGGGCTGACTGTAGCTCAGATCACGAACTTCTTATTGCCAAATTTAGAATAAAACTAAAGAGATCAGGGAAAATACACAGACCAGTTAGATATGATCTCACTAACATTCCTAGCGAATATACAGTGGAAGTGAAGAACAGATTTGAAGGACTAGATTTAGTAAACAGAGTCCCAGAAGAACTATGGACAGAAGTCCGCGACATTGTTCAGGAGGCGGCAACAAAGTACGTCCCAAAGAAAAAGAAAACCAAGAAGGCAAAATGGTTGTCTGCTGAGACACTGGAAGTAGCCCAAGAAAGGAGGAAAGCAAAAGGAAACAGTGAAAAGGGGAGATATGCCCAGTTAAATGCGCAATTCAAGAGGTTAGCCAGAAGAGATAAGGAACTATTTTTAAATAAGCAATGCATGGAAGTGGAGGAAGACAACAGAATAGGAAGGACAAGAGACCTCTTCCAGAAAATTAGAAACATTGGAGGTAAATTTCAGGCAAAAATTGGTATGATAAGAAACAAAGATGGCAGGGACCTAACCGAAGCTGAAGAGATCAAGAGAAGGTGGCGAGACTATACAGAAGATCTGTATAGGAAGGATAATAATATTGAGGATAGTTTTGACGGTGTGGTGAATGAATTAGAACCAGACATCCTGAGGAGTGAGGTTGAATGGGCCTTAAGAAGCATTGCTAACAACAAGGCAGCAGGAGATGACGGGATCCCAGCTGAACTGTTGAAAATCTTAAAAGATGATGCTGTCAAGGTGATGCATGCCATTTGCCAGCAAATATGGAAAACACAAGAATGGCCATCAGACTGGAAAAAATCAACTTATATCCCCATACCAAAAAAGGGAAATTGCGAAAGACTGCTCAAACTTCCGTACAGTGGCCCTTATTTCTCATGCCAGTAAGGTAATGCTCAAGATCCTGCAAGGAAGACTCCAGCAATACATGGAGCGAGAGTTGCCAGATGTTCAAGCTGGGTTTAGAAAAGGCAGAGGACGAGAGACCAGATTGCCAATATCCGCTGGATAATGGAGAAAGGCAGGGAGTTTCAGAAAAACATCTCTTTCTGCTTCATTGACTATTCTAAAGCCTTTGACTGTGTGGATCATAATAAATTGTGGCAAGTTCTTGGTGGTATGAGAATACCAAATTACCTTGTCTCTCTCCTGAGGAATCTGTATAAGGACCAAGTAGCAACAGTAAAAGACCATGGAACAACAGACTGGTTCAAGATTGGGAAAGGCGTACGGCAGGGTTGTATACTCTCACCCAACCTTTTTAACTTGTATGCAGAACACATCATGCGATGTGCGGGGCTGGATGAATGCAAAGCTGGGGTGAAAATTGCTGGAAGAAACATTAACAACCTCAGATATGCAGAGGACACCACTCTGATGGCCGAAAGCGAGGAGGAGCTGAGGAGCCTTCTAATCAAGGTGAAAGAAGAAAGCGCAAAAGCCGGGTTGCAGCTAAACGTCAAAAAAACCAAGATTATGGCAACAAGAATGATTGACAACTGGAAAATAGAGGGAGAAACCGTGGAGGCCGTGACAGACTTTGTATTTCTAGGTGCAAAGATTACTGCAGATGCAGACTGTAGCCAGGAAATCAGAAGACGCTTACTTCTTGGGAGGAGAGCAATGTCCAGTCTCGATAAAATAGTGAAGAGTAGAGACATCAGACTGGCAACAAAGATCCATTGCCTAGTCAAAGCCATGGTCTTCCCTGTAGTCACCTACGGATGTGAGAGCTGGACCTTAGGGAAGGCTGAGCGAAGGAAGAGATGCTTTTGAGCTGTGGTGTTGGAGGAAAGTGCTGAGAGTGCCTTGGACTGTGAGAAGATCCAACCAGTCCATCCTCCAGGAAATAAAGCCCGACTGCTCACTGGAGGGAAGGATACTAGAGACAAAGTTGAAGTACTTTGGCCACATCATGAGGAGACAGGAAAACCTAGAGAAGACAATTATGCTGGGAAAGTGGAAGGCAAAAGGAAGAGGGGCCAACCAAGGGCAAGATGGATGGATGGCATCCTTGAAGTGACTGGACTGACCTTGAAGGAGCTGGGGGTGGTGAACGGCCGACAGGGAGCTCTGGCGTAGGCTGGTCCATGAGGTCACGAAGAGTCGGAGACGACTGAACGAATGAACAACAACAATTTGTTTTCAAGGGTGAACTGTGGTATGCAAAATTAAGCCCCGATAAACAATACCTCATCCTGAGCCCTGTGAAAGGGAATGATGTTTCCAGGCTACAAATATCCTAGGCTTACCTGCAGAGGGTGGCCCAATAAGCACAGCGATGGCTTCGATTAGCATTTCAATATGTGCTTTGTGCAGCTACATCGCCTGCTGTGAAACTTCATGAAGAAACCCTGACCTATCTCAACCAAGGTCAGTCTTATGAAATCCGTCTACTTGAGAATAGGAAATTGGGAGAGTTTCAAGATTTAAACACAAAATATGTAAGCCCCGATAAACAATACCTCATCCTGAGCCCTGTGAAAGGGAATGATGTTTCCAGGCTACAAATATCCTAGGCTTACCTGCAGAGGGTGGCCCAATAAGCACAGCGATGGCTTCGATTAGCAAGACAAGCCCAATGGCACTGGAGAACTTCTGTGAGCCAACGATGGCCATGAGCACCTCAAACTGCAGGGCCCCCACCATGCCGTAGGAGATGCCAAAGAAGATGCAGAAGAGGACAAGAGATGTGTAAGTGCTGGCCTTGGCACTGATGATATCGGTCAGGCCATTGAAGAGCATGGCAAAGCTGAACAGGTAGATGACATGAGGCCGTACCCACTTTAGTCCAGCAAGAACCCCACAAGATGGACGGGCAAAGATATCGATGAAACCAATGATGGACAACAGAAAAGCAGCCTCTTTGTCAGGCACTCCTGTGTCTTTGGCATAGTTGACCAGCAATATGGTGGGCACAAAGAGACCCAAGACCATGATGAACATGGCAATCGTATAGATGACAAACCCTCGGTTTTTGAAGATTGAAAAATCTAACAACTTTTTGCCTTTCTTGGGCTTCTTCTTCTTCTTGGCTTTCTTGGCTTTCTTAGTGTTGTCCGTGGTGTTGATGGCCTCGTCTGCCCTTTCTCCCATTGGCAGCATCTCTTTGGCCTCATATTTGTCCTGGGCCTTTTCTCTTGTCGTCTTCATACTCATCTCTAGGGGTCTCATCACTGCCCCACAGGTGCAGCAGTTGAGCAGGAGGCCTCCCATGATGAGGAATCCGCCTCGCCAGCCAAACTTCTCCAACAAAACCTGCCCCAGTGGAGAGAGAGCTGACAGGAAGACTGGGCTCCCAGCTGCAGCAAGCCCATTCGCCAAAGGTCTCCGCTTATCAAAGTAGGACCCCAGCATGATCAGGGAAGGCTGAAAGTTGAGAGCCATGCCTAAACCTGCAGAAAGCAAGAGGAATTATAAATGACCAGTAAATTAATCTTGGAGATTCAGATTGTCTGGGGAGGCCCTGCTCTCGGTCTCACCTCCTTCGCAAGTGCGACTGGTGGGGACGAGAGACAGGGACTTCTCAGTGGTGACCCCTCATCTATGGAACTCCCTCCCCAATGAAATTAGATCAGTGGCCTCCCTCTTGGCCTTCAGGGAAAAAAGTGAAAACATGGCTGTGGGACCAAGCATTTGAGCAGTAAGCAATACAAGGAATGAACAGGGATTATGTACAATTTGATATTAGAATGGCCTTGGACTATGTTTTTGAATTAATTGATTTTAATGTTTACATTAATATGTTTTTAACTCCACGTTTTAATATCTAAATGTAATTATGTTTTATGATTTAATTGATAGTTATATGTTAATGTTTTATGGTAGGTTTCATATGTTTCTGAGGCATTATATTTTTCTGTGAATATGTTGGAAACCACTTTGAGTCCCCCCTGGGGTGAGAAAAATGATATACAAATGAAGTAAAGAAATAAATAAATGATAACCTGAATCAATTTCTGAATTTCAGCCAGAGGGGGACTAATACATCAATGAGAAGTTTATAATAGTTAACATTTCTGTAAGTTCAGTTGATTCAATTCATCTACTCGATTTGGGACTAAATAAGATTTAAGGCTTAAATTTTGAGCCACTGATCTCAAGAGATAGAAACGTCTCAAGAGTGTGATAGAGGAGAGGTTCCCAAACTGTGTTCTGCAGAACCCTAGGATTCCACAAATGCATTGTAGGGGTTCCATGAAAAATCTTTAAAACCTTTGTTTAAATCTTTTTTTTAATTCCATGCCAAAGTACAAAGATGGTGTTGAAATTCAATGTACAGTAGAGTCTCGCTTATCTGACTTTCACTTATCCAACATTTCGTCTTATCTGACGCTCTTATCCGATGTACCCCTTTTCCTCCAGCATTTCCCCTTCAATTAAAGGAGCACTCCCCAAATTTCTCTCCATTCCCAAAAAGTGAAAAAGGCAAGACAAAGAGGAGGGGGGGAGGAGGGAAGAAGAGGGGGGGGAAGAGGCAGGACCGGAAGAGGCAGCATCGTCCTTCCTTCACTCTGTGATTCTCATGCTCCTCTTCCACATCTGGGCACTTCTTGCTTGGCTGAGACGTTGTCTTGCCTTAACCCTTTGAGTCCCTGTTGTTAGTATTCTAGGTGTCTAGCACCGCTTTGCACAGGTAACAGTAGGATACTCTGTATTATCTGACATTTTTGTTTAGCCGATGTTCTGCCAGTCCGTTTATGTTGGATAAGTGAGACTTTACTGTACCTCTGTTGTAAGAACAAAATTTGATCAGTATTTTATAGAGCTGATAGATATATAGCTGTCAGTAGCCAGAGTAAACTGGATGCCACCCCAAATTTGTGTATTCAGCTGTTGGACATAAAATTCAATTTCAAAACTAGGTTATGTACAAAAATGAAACAATTTTATTCATCACTGTGTGAATTCAGTGTGAATCCAATACTTTTCCTGTTCCAAAATAAAGTTTTGTGGTTATATTTTAAATGTTTTCCCTTTATCTCCAAACCTACATTATACAAAACCCTTGGGCAATGGGAGTAGATGAAAGAAGAAAAAACTTTCTGGATTCACAGTGCTTTGGAACAGAGTTAGGGTTCCATGGGAAAATCAGAAACAGAGTTAGGGTTCTGCAAGAGGAAAGTCTTCTGAAGGATTCCATGACCAAAGAAGTTTGGGAGCCATTGCAATGGAGGTATCTGTCCTACAATCCCAGAAATATGTGACCCTATCCATGCATTATACTTTTCTGTTATTAAAAGATCTTTTTAAGTGAAATGTTATCTCTCTACAATTAGTAGGAGCATGCAATGCTTGTGTTTCACTCAATGACAGAATGTGCAATGCAAATGTAAAATATACTTTCTAGACTAAATTATCAATACTATCAATACATGCACAAATAGTACAAGAAAGGATACTAGGCATCTTTGTATAATGGGTATGAAAATATTGTAGAGTCAAGCCCTCCACATTTGTGGATTTAACTTTTGTGGATTTGGTTACTTACAGGGTTGATTAATATGTTTTCTCTAGAATTCTCTGGGTCCTTCAGTATGACTCCATGGTCAACTTCCACTGAAAGTGACCATAGAATTTTGGAGAAGGTCTTCAGAATTCCTAAAGATGTATCTAAGTGTGTCATATGTACCTGTTTTGGATGGGGCCTAGGGAGCTATCCTGAGCCCTATCCAATCCTCTCCCAGCAGCAAGGCTTCAGAACATCCCAGGGTTTGAGAAGACATAGAACTCCATGGCATTGTGCTCTGCTTGCTCAAGATAAGATCTCTGTCATCATGTTCTTCCACTCTCCTTGCAATATCTCTCCGATTTCTGTCAGTTCTATGTTCCACCTCCCACTCGCAGATGCATGCTTATTTTAGAGGTGTATTGTTTCTCTTCCCACTTTGCAAGAACACTCACCTGTCAACACACCAGCTGTCAGGTACAGTTCAATAATGTTTGTGGTGAATGAAGCTAAAATCATTCCAGACGAAGCCAAGAGGCCTCCAACGAGCATCACAGGACGACATCCAAACTGGTTCACCATAATACTGCTCACAGGTCCTGAAGAGAATCCAAGAAATCAAAAAGGGACAAAGACTAGAACGAAATAAAAAGAATCAACAGCTGAAGTAAAGTAAAATTTACTGCCTATGCAGTAGAACATATGTAGTCTCTATGCAAATGACGCCCAACTCTACCACTCTTTTCCACTTAACTCCAAGGAAGTCCCTCGGATACTAGACCAGTGTCTGGCCGCTGTGACAGTTTGGATGGTGGCAAATGAGCTGAAGATTAATCCTGACAAGACAGAGGTCCTCCAGGTCAATCGCAGGCCAGATCGAGGTATAGGGTGGCAACCTGTACTCGACGGGGTTGCACTCCCCTTGAAGACACAGGTCCACAGCTTGGGGATCCTCCTAGACTCAGCACTAACACTTGATGCTCAGGTGTTGGCGGTGGCTGGGAGGGCCTTCGCACAATTAAAGCACATTCACCAGCTGCGACCGTACCTTGTGAAGTTTGACTTGGTCACGGTGGTCTACGCCTTAGTTAGACTGAATTATTACAATGCACTCTACATGGGGCTGCCCTTGAAGATGGCCCGGAAACTTCAATTGGTCCAATGATTGGTAGCCAGACTACTAACGAGTGAATTACAGGGAGCGGTCAACCCCGTTTAAGGAGCTCCATTGGCTACCGTTTATTTTTCAGTCCCAATTCAAGGTGCAGGTTCTTACCTACAAAGTCCTGAACAGTTTGGGACCCGCCTACCTTTGTTTCCACATTTTCTTCTATGAACCTACACAATCCCTTTGATCTTCCAGATAAGTCCTTCTCTCGCTCCCACCCCATCACAAGCGCAACTTGTGGGGACAAGGGAGAGGGCCTTCTCTGTGGTGGCCCCTCAGCTCTGGAATTCGCTCCCAGGAAAAATTAGGCAAGCGCCATCCCTGGCAGTCTTCAGAAAGAGTCTAAAAACTTGGCTGTTTCATTGTGTCTCCAAACCCTGCATAAAATGCCTTCGGATGCATTTTATTTCACCCTCTAGTGCAATTAAACCCCATTGTTTTGTCCCACCTCAACCTCCTTCCAGATACACTACATTGCTCATCTCACCCAGTGTTTTTAAATGTTTTAATCTTTGCAATTGGCCCTGCCCATTGTGTCCAATTATTGTGGTTTTATACTGAATTGTGTGTTTACTCTCCATTGTTTTTCGTATTATTATTTTTATTATATTTTATTGCTGTATTTTATGTTGTATATTTGCTTTGTTATAATTGTCGGCTTGGCCTCATGTAAGCCGCTCTGAGTCCCCTTGGGGAGGTGGTGGTGGTGTATAAATAAAGTTTTGTTGTTGTTGTTGTTAAAATTCGAATATCCCTTACCTGAAATGCTTGAGACCAGACTATTTTGGATTTTTACAGATTTGACATATATGTACTTTATTAGATATCTCGGAGATGAGAGCCAAGTCTAAACAGAAAACTTATTTAGGTTTACTATACATCTTATAAACAGAAGGGGACAGATTGGAGGCTCTCTGTTTTTTCTGGCCCTGGGTAAACTTGGATAAATTGACCATAACACAGCCTTATTCCCTTCCTTTCATATTCAGTTTTAGCAGAGATGTGAGATGAAAGCAAGAACTGAACTATCAGACAGAAGGGAAAGCAATAGCTCTCTTTCATAGATGTTTTTCAGACATCTTAAAGTAATATTATCATGAATTAGACAGTCCATATTAGAGCTTGGGGAAAAATACTTTTTACACTACAACCAGCAGTTAATTTAAAAAGTACTTTTTTCTAGTCTCTAGTTCATTCTGACTAGTATTGTCCAAAGATCTCAAGAATTAATCAAAGTAGACCTGAGCTTTACAATTGAACCATGGGTCCTCTGATAAGAGGCATTCTTCTTCCTCATTTGTGTGTAGGCTTTAGATCAGTGGTTCCAAACCTGTGGTCCATGGACCACCAGTGGTCCCCAAGAATGAAATATGATCCACAGCCTCACCATTACTACACCGTTGCCATGAAACCACACAGCAATGAGAGCGATTGCTCTTGCAAAACCCTCTTATGTCCGGATGTCCGGAGGGGAGAGGCTGACTACACACGAAAGATTACTACTACCACACCCGCTCTAGATTATTAAATATGGTTTTCTGTGGGTGAGCAGATAGTGACTACTGGATGATATATGTTCTGTATCAGAACATATACTATCCAGTATATGCTGATGTAGTCTATCCAATGCGATTTTCTGAATCAGCACCCCAAATAACCAAACTGAATAAAAAAAACTGATTCGTAACCCTTTTGGTACTAATGTTGGAGAGTGGTCCCTGGTCAAAGTTGTCCCTGGTTTAAAAAAAGGTTGGGGACCACTGCTTTAGATAGAAGGAACACTCTTGCTCAGCAATATATATGAACTGGTAGATAGCTTTGTTTGCTTAATACCAAGAGCTAAGCATCCCTTCCCCAAAATGTTAGAAGTGATGTCTGATGCTGTGCTTACTTGTAGAGATGGAAGCAATGGATAATGGAAACACATTCTAACAAGCTTTGGGTGAGATCTTCTCATCCTGACACCCTCCTCATGTATTGTATTGTAATTCCCATTATTCCTGAGAAGCATGGCCAATGATTATGGGAACTGCAATCCAACACCTCAGAAAAAAATGCTGGGTTCAGCATAGATGTTACAGCCAAACAAGAATTTAGTTCCAGTATAACAACCACAGGTGGTAAAAAAAAGTACAGACACCTGAGCAATTGAACCCTGAAAGTGGGAGAGTCGTTGCCTATTTGCCTGCAAAGCTTTTAAATAAAACTCTTCAACCCGTCTGCTAGCACTGCATTGTAGAATGTTGGTTAGCATTCTGATCCTTTGAAGCAACAACAAAATGTATTAAATTATATATTTCCCTTCTCTCATAACATACAGACCAAAAGAGCTATTTGGTCTACAAGGCTCTGGGCAACAGAAGAGCCGAAGCTTCCAAGATGCCAACCCAAGCTCAATTCCATATAACAGATTTGTGGGGTAGCCAATCAGAACTCATGAAACTACTTGCTTCTAATGCTCTTATCTTGGATGGATAGACTTTTTTTTTTGAAATTTTGGAATTAAAGAAATCCAGAATGGAAAAAGAGGCATGGAAAAGGGAATGACACGGACCTAGGGTCCTTTTTCGCACTCCACAGTTCTAATACTTTGATACCACTTTAACTGCTCTTGTTACATCTTATGGGATTCTCCATATAGCAGCCATGGTTATTAAAGTGATATAAGGTAAAGGTAAAGGTTTTCCCCTGACATTAAGTCCAGTCATGTCCGACTCTGGGGGTTGATGATCATCTCAATTTCTAAGCCAAAGAGCCGGTGTTGTCCGTAGACACCTCCAAGGTCATGTGGCCAACATGACTGCATGGAGCGCTGTTACCTTCTCGCTGGAGCGGTACCTATTGATCTACTCACATTTGCATGTTTTTGAGAAGCTAGGTTGGCAGGAGCTGGGGCTAACAGCGGGAGTTCACGCCGCTCCCTGGATTCGAACTTGCGACCTTTCGGTCAGCAAGTTCAGCAGCTTTAATCCACTGCACCATTGGGGGCTCCTAAAGTGATACCAGCATGAGCAATATGTGATCTTCAGAATGAGCAATATGTGATCCAACTGCTCTTCTCTTTTGCTATGTACCAATTGCTATTAAGTGTAGCTTTAAAAAATACCTGTCTATATTTTTATAAGCCCAAACAATGTAGTGCTTTTTTGGATGGAATTGTAGCCTCCTCACCTGTTCCATACAGCATAGCTAGCATGATCGATGAGATCCAAGCTGTGTCACTGTAGCCAACATGGAAGTCATGCATCAGCTCCTTGAAGTAAATGCTCACTGCCTTTGGAAAGGCGTAGGAGAAGCCCGTGATGACGAAGCAACCCAACAGCACAACCCAGCCCCAGCCACCATCTGGAGGCTTCACTCTTTCAGGCATCTGTCCATCCTCAGCATCGCCTCTCCCCATTGCCTAAATCAAGTGGAAGCCAGCAAATAAACCAGGCCAGGCGTGGGCAGCAGCAGCAGGAGAGTGGAGTGCTGGAGAAACAGAAAATCAGACAGGAAACAGATCAAAGATCAGACAAAGTATCTTCTGAAACTTGTAGCCTATCAAAATACCTTTAGACACAAATTCACCAAACCTCTTTTTTCCTAAGTTTTATCACTTCATTTATTTTTGCATGCTCTTCTTTCTCTATTTAAATAATGATGGGTTCAGTTATAGTACTATAGTTCTGGGCTGGCTTTAGCACTGCAGGTTAATCACCAGCTGCAGATGCAGTAAATCTTGCCAACTGAAAGATTGACAGTTTGAAGCCGGGTCAGGGTGAGCTCCTAATCTTTAGCCCAGCTCCCCACTAGATGAATAGGAACCACATTAAGCAGGGAAGTATTTATCACGCAAGTCTGCTATCGCATCACAATTGCCTTAGTTTAATTACAGAAGTATCCCGGTTTTGCCTCAAACTTCGTCACACTTACTCCACATGAGGGGTTTAGCACTATTTTGGTGATCCATGACCATGTGATCAAATTTCCATCCCACCACTTTCTTCCTTGTGAGAACAATCCCCAGCAAGGAAAGACTGTCTTTGGAGAGTAGGGCACCCCTCTAAAAAGGAAATGGGAAGACTTCCTTGTGAAGAAGGACTATCATTGCTTCTCTGGTAGGAGTGGAGCTGGATGCATCCCCTGGATGCAACACCATCAATAATACTGATTTTATTGTTTTAAATGGATGTTCTATTTACTGTTTTGTTATTATACTGATTTGTTATTGGCATAGAATTGCTGCCAAATGTAAGCTGTCCTGAGTCCCCCTTCGGGGGTTGAGAAGGAACAGGGTAGAAAAACTGGAAATAAATAAATAACCAATAAAGGAATTGAGGGACTTCATTGTAGGGAGGGAGGGAAAGTTGGCCTTGTGGTGATGCCATAAAATCAACCTACTCACATCATATGACTGCATCAAAGTGCAACTGCAGAGGGAGGAACCTGTCACACAGAAATCCATTGTAGAAAGTGAGTGCATTTGAGAGTTATTGACAGTTTACCCATCAATTAAAAGTGGTGCTCCCAGAATGGGCGGGATACAAATCAGCTACAAGACAGACTGGGCATCACAGACTGGGCATCGTGCGGTGAGGAATAGCAAAAGACACCATAATCCTGTGCATATGCCACTTCACCAGCCTTGTATGATAAAGTGCTTGAATAAGGTATTGAGAACGCACCAGTGCCTCACCAAACTACAGAATTCAGGATCCCATAGTGTGTTGCCATGGCAGTTAAAGTGGAATCAAAGGACTTTAACTGAGCTGCATGAAAGGCTTATATCTGAAGGCAAACACAAAACTTGTCAGCAATGCTAATCAGCTTTGTGAAGGGGGAATTCTGGCACTATTCCATTAATTATTATTTTTGCCCATTTAATTTACTGTTATATTTACATACCTCACTTCATTCACTCAGATAGATGAATAGATAGATAGATAGATAGATAGATAGATAGATAGATAGATAGATAGATAGATAGATAGATAGATAGATAGTGATAAGTAAACTCACTTCATTCACTCAGATAGATAGATAGATAGATGGATAGATAGATGGATAGATAGATAGATAGTGATAAGTAAACCATGGAATATGTAAACCATGAAGCAACTAACAAGTAAAACTAGAAATACAAAATAGAAAAGTATACCACTGAAATTCTAAATTCTAGCAAAATTCCACATACCATTGTCTGTTCAACAAAAAGCAAAATCTTCTCAGGCACCATCAAAGGGATCCAAAGGTTTGCATGAAGAAGTGGGTCTGAAGTAGCCAATGAAACTGAGTTACTGAAGACAGTAGGCGTGTCTCCAAAGACAGCGAAAATCATTTGTGGGTATCACAACTGAGACAGTCCTTACTAAGGTCACTCGTTAATCATAAGCAAGACTGACAAAATAGGGCTTTAGGAAAGATCTCTGAGATCAGGCAAGTACATACTGGGAGAAACTTTCACACAAGTTGACTCCAAGTCATTTAAAGACCAACAAGGACAGTAACACCCAATGAAGAGACAAAGAGAAGAGACAAAGTCTCAGAGTGTTGAAAAAAAAGTTTTGTTTTCCCACTTAGTCCAATGCATTTTGACCCAGTAATATTAATGGCATTCTCCAGAGGCTGAAAGTACAAGGTGAAAAGGCAAAAAAGCCCGTTTTGAATGGATTCAATTAATGTAATTCAAAACTGTCTGGAATTAAGAAACCACCATCTTCTCTTGCTCAAAAATAGCTTGTGTCTGTCTATTACCCAAGACAATAAGCTTGAAAGTTGTTCATCTCAGTTGGCAAGCATCCTCCAAGACCTTGAATAGCCTGGCTTAATGTAAGACTTGGCACACACAGGATGTGGTAGTTCCCTAAGATCACCTCCATCAGTTCAGGTAAGGAGACAATTAAGCATCAGGGTTGACAACATGGCAACAGAATCTCAATCTTGTCTCAAGTGAAATGCAAAGATACAGAATGGGGGACACCTAGCTCGACAGCAGTATGTGTAAAAAAAATATTGGAGTCGTTGTGGACAACAAGTTAAACATGAACCAACAATGTCATGCGATGGCTAAAAAAGCCAATGGGATTTTGGCCTGCATAAATAGGAGTTTAGTGTCTAGAGCAGGGGTCCTCAAACTAAGGCCCAGGGGCTGAATACGGCCCTCCAAGGTCATTTACTCGGCCCTCACTCAGGGTCAACTTAAGTCTGAAACTACTTGAAAGCACACAACAACAATAATCCTGTCACATCAGCCAAAAGCAGGCCCACACTTCCCATTGAAATACTAATAAGTTTATATTTGTTAAAATTGTTATTCATTTTAGTTATTGTATTGTTTTTAAGTGTCTTTTGCACTACAAGTAAGATGTGTGCAGTGTGCATAGGAATTCATTCATGTTTTCTTCAAATTATAATCTGGCCCTCCCAACAGTTTGAGGGACTATGACCTGGCCCTCTATTTAAAAAGTTTGATGATCCCTGGTCTAGATCCAGGGAAGACATGCAACCCCTCTATTCTGCCTTGGTTAGACCACACCTGAAATCACACTATGTCCAATTCTGGGCACCACAACTGAAGGGAGATATTGACAAGCTGGAATGTGTGCAAAGGAGGACAACTAAAATGATTAAAGGTCTGGAGAACAAGCCCTATGAGGAGCAGCTTAAGGAGCTGGGTATGTTTAGTCTTCAGAAGAAAAGGCTGAGAGGAGACATGAAGGTCATGTATCAAGATGTGAGAGGAAATCATAAAGAGGAGGGAACAAGCTTGTTTTCTGTTGCCCTGGAAACTAGGATGCGGAACAATGGCTTCAAACTACAGAAAAGGAGATTCCGCCTGAATATTAGGAAGAACTTCCTGACTGTGAGACCTGTTCAGCAGTGGAACTCTCAGCCCCGGAGCGTGGTGGAGGTCCCTTCTTTAGAGGGTTTTAAACAGAGGCTGGATGGCCATCCTTTGGGGGTGCTTTGAATGCAATTTTCCTGTTTCTTGGCAGGGGATTGGACTGGATGGGTCACAAGGTCTCTACCAACTTCTATATGGCTGTCCCGGCTCTCCTTCCTTCCTTCCTTCCTTCCTTCCTTCCTTCCTTCCTTCCTTCCTTCCTTCCTTGTTGTTGTTAGTATTAAGGTATGGAAGGCAGGCAGTCTGAGTCAAAACAGGTCCAGATCTGAAATACTGAATTGGGCTCTGAACCTGGAGGCACCATGTCCAGATTTACCTATTTGTCTTTTTTAAATGCATTTCCTCCCCTTTTTTCTGTCAATACATAATTGGCCACTCTATATCCTCTTTCCTGACTAGGTAAAGGTTTTCCCCTGACAGTATGTCCAGTCATGTCTGACTCTGGGGGTTGGTGCTCATCTTGATTTCTAAGCCGAAGAGCCGGCACTGTCCATAGACATTTCCAAGGTCATGTGGCCAGCATGGAACACTGTTACTTTCCCACCGGAGTGGTACCCTATCTATTGATCTATTCACATTTGCATGTTTTCAAACTGCTAATTTGGCAGAAACTGGGGCTAACAGCGGGAGCTCACTCTGCTCCCCGGATTCGAACCTGCAACCTTTCGGTCATCAAGTTCAGCAACTCAGTGCTTTAACCCACTGCGCCACTGGGAGCTTCCTGACTAGTCACTGAAAATACTAACCTTGAGACATTAAATGTGAAGTTAACATTTTTGTTTTGTGTATAGTATACAACTTTACATCTGCTTATGGTTGGATTATATTTACCATTTTCTGCCTGCTCAGCATGTTGTTGTTCATTCGTTCAGTCGTCTCCGACTCTTCGTGACCTCATGGACCAGCCCACGCCAGAGCTCCCTGTCGGCCGTTACCACCCCCAGCTCCCTCAAGGTCAGTCCAGTCACTTCAAGGATGCCATCCATCCATCTTGCCCTTGGTCGGCCCCTCTTCCTTTTGCCTTCCACTTTCCCCAGCATAATTGTCTTCTCTAGGCTTTCCTGTCTCCTCATGATGTGGCCAAAGTACTTCAACTTTGTCTCTAGTATTTTTCCCTCCAGTGAGCAGTCGGGCTTTATTTCCTGGAGGATGGACTGGTTGGATCTTCTCGCAGTCCAAGGCACTCTCAGCACTTTCCTCCAACACCACAGCTCAAAAGCATCGATCTTCCTTCGCTCAGCCTTCCCTAAGGTCCAGCTCTCACATCCGTAGGTGACTACAGGGAATACCATGGCTTTGACTAGGCGGATCTTTGTTGCCAGTCTGATGTCTCTACTCTTTACTATTTTATCGAGATTGGACATTGCTCTCCTCCCAAGAAGTAAGCGTCTTCTGATTTCCTGGCTACAGTCTGCATCTGCAGTAATCTTTGCACCTAGAAATACAAAGTCTGTCACGGCCTCCACGGTTTCTCCCTCTATTTTCCAGTTGTCAATCCTTCTTGTTGCCATAATCTTGGTTTTTTTGACGTTTAGCTGCAACCCGGCTTTTGCGCTTTCTTCTTTCACCTTGATTAGAAGGCTCC